ATAACATCTGTTTTCTCTGACTTGACAATGAAGGATGCTGAAGGAGGAGGGGGAAACAAAGTAGTTGACATCTTGGCTCTTATTTAATTGCAGATTTGTTTACATGTGCTATTTGCATTTACACATTGCTCTTTTTTTTCAAAAAATCAGTTCCCTCAAAGTTTGTTACATTGTCTCTCGCATGAAAATTTGTCAAAAATTCATGACAGCAGCAAAGGCTAATAAAGTGGTTCTATTGAAAGGAATTTTCAAACCAGCTAGGACTAAATCAGCTTCCGGTTTTTGAAATATGCAAATTGATATTTGTTTCTTATTGCTTTTGACCTGCACAAGATAGTCTCACTTACCTATACTTTCCGTGGCGTAAATTCTTTGTGCCGTGCCAGTGAGCGGCTGCCTTTTTTTGCCCGCTCTGACCGTTTTTGGTTTACAACCTTTTTCTCTTCCATTCTTGCATTTTGACGCTGTCTACGTTTGATTTTCTTGTTAGCAACTCTCTCAGCTGCTTATTTTCGGGTCGATTTTGTTTTTTTCTCATCCGGTTACCTTCTACTGGGTAGGAATCGCTATCGCTTGCGCCTTTTTGTATTGATTTTCTTAACCTTTGACTATATTGAGTTCCTTGATCGTGATCATGCCTCCGAAAGCTTCTCGTTCATCTCGTAGGGGTGTTTCTAGCTCTGCATCGACTCCTGCTCCTATTGTTAGCATGCAAAATGAGGTCACCAGTGCTGACTATTCTAACATGTCGGCCTCAGACCTTCTGCTGCATATCAAGGATAGGAACAAGGATCCAGTGATCGATCAATTGCTAGACATCCTATCGCAGAGACTCCAGAATGCGGTCTCTGGTGAACTTGAGGCTGAGAAGCGATCACGTACAATTGTCATAAGTGGGATACGGGAGCCGTCGAATGATCTCCGTGCTTCGGAGCGGGCTAGGGACCTTAGGAGTAGGGTCGACGATATCATGGACGTTCTTGATGTTGACTGCTGCCCAAGTGAAATCCTTCGCATTGGGAAGGCAACACCCGACCGTCCTCGGCTAGTCAAGGTAATTTTTCCGTCAACTTACTATTGGCAAAAAGCTCTAGCAAATTCGTATCGGCTTCGTAACTCGCCCTTCTCAAATATATTCATTCGTAAAAGTATGACTACCGAGGAAAGGAGGGTCGAATATGAACTTAGGCAGCAGGCTAAGGAACTCAACGCTGGGAAACCCGAGAAGGAGTGGGTCGTTTATCGCGGCCAACTGAAGCGTGTCTCGGAGCTTCCTAGTAGGAGTTCGGTAAACTAATGACTACGCATGGCAATCCTGGGATACTGAAATGTGTTTTACTGAACGCACGTAGTATTGTAAATAAATTGCATCACTTGCATTCGCTTCTGATTTATACTAAACCTGATCTCGTGTTTCTGACTGAAACCTGGCTTGAGCCAAAGGTACACGATTCCGAGCTGATCGGTGATCTGCCATATTCCATATTTCGCACTGACAGACCGAAGCGAAAAGGTGGTGGTGTATGCTGCCTTGTTGAAGGTTGCTTCTACATCAAACAAGTGACAAGATTTATTGCTTCGCGTTCTGATTTATTGACTGTGGAACTTTTCTGTTTGTCGAGTTTAAAAACTGTCAAGTTCGTAATCGTGTATCGTCCACCTAACTCCACGCAGGGTGATGATAAACAGCTGATTGAGCTTCTCTCCAATCTAACTTCCGATGGAAATACTACACTTATTGTGGGCGATTTCAATCTACATATTGATTGGTTCAATATGAAGCACATTAGCCATGAATCTAAACCGTTCCTCGTTTTCTTCATTAATGCTGAATTGAAACAGCATGTCTTATATCCTACCCACGCTGAGAGTATTCTGGACATCATATTGTCTACTTCGGAAAACGTTCACAGTGTCAGACTCTATCCACCTTTGGCTTCTGCAGATCATAGCATCATTACATTTGAGTATAAAGATAACTTTCAGCTTGTCTCATCTTATCCTACACCTGATTTTGTGCACTTTGATTACGTTTCCCTTAATAAGTATTTATCTGAAGTTGATTGGACTGCACTGTTTGACAATTATCGCAATGTTGATGACTTGTATCTCAGATTCTGCCAAGTCATATATACTGGGATGGCATTGTTTGGTACTATGAGAATTAATCACAACTTTGGATTGACCTATCCTGCTCATATTCGTTCACTTATTAAACAGAAGTGTCGCTTATTTTGTGTTTTAGATTCACCTCTAACTAGCCCCCTGTACAAGAAAGTCTGTGCTGACATTGATCTGCACCTCAGAAAGTTTCTAGCCAATCATGAGCGACGCTTATCAAAGAAATCCTCTATGAGAAATTTATTTAGGTACATTCACCACAAGTTACAAAGTAAGGTTAGCCTCCCGGTGTTGAAAGACTCTTTGGGTTATACTTGCTGTAATGATTCCAATAAAGCGGAGGCCTTGGGTGAATACTTTGCCACTGTGTTCGCGAATCCTTCGAACATCACCCCCTCTTCCTCCCACCCTCCTTCAAAACAAATTGAACTCTGTTTATTTTCACCCTGCGGAAGTGAGAAGAGTCTTAAGGTCCCTAAAACCTTCGTGTATGGAGCCGTACGATGGCATCCCTCAGATACTCTATAAAATGTGTGCAGATACTCTTGCTAAACCGCTTGCTGATATATTCAATCTTTCCCTATACTTCGGTAAGATTCCCTCCCTTTGGAAGGAAGCCATTGTTACAGTTGTGCCTAAAACTTCCGCAGCTGAAAGTGTTGCCGATTTTCGCCCCATTAGCCATAATTCTGTGCCCATCAAGATTATGGAAAGAGTTATTAGAAGTAAATTACTACTTTGGTTAGAGAAGTTCCATCTTGTTTCGCCCGAGCACCATGGCTTTGTGCCAGGCAAGTCAACTGCAACTAATCTTACTGAGGCCGTCTTTGATTGGAAATTAGCCTGAGTTCAAGAAAATCTGTGGATATTATATACTTCGACCTTTCCAAGGCTTTTGATAGAATACCTCACCATTTGCTTCTTTGCAAACTAGAGAATATCGGAATTTCGGGAAACCTACTAACTTGGTTTGAGTCTTACTTGAGCAATAGATGCATGACGGTAAAGATTGGTCATAAATATTCCAGAAAATTTCCCTGTCCTAGTGGAGTTCCTCAGGGAGCTGTCCTATCTCCTTTGTTATTTTTGGTATACACTTTGGACCTGCCTGATGCTTTAAAAACATTGAATGTACACGTACAAATCTATGCGGACGATACAAAGATATATGCATCTTATGATGAAGACAACCTGGACACAGTTCATGATGCTTTGCAGTCATCGATTGATAAAATGTGTGCTTGAGCGTCTCAGAATGGACTCTCTCTCAACCCAAGAAAATGTTCCTTCCTCCATCTTGGCAAGCATTCCTCAACTTCGAATAAAATTGATGGAGTTGAGATGACTGCTTGTCAAGATGTGAAAGATCTGGGAGTTATTATCGATTGTGATTTGAAATTCTCTAAGCATATTGATGCAAATGTCAACAGGGCATATGCCACTTTATTTACAATCTTTCGCAATATACAAACTCGTAATCCTATAATACTGTCCCGGTTATACAAAGCTTAGGTTGTTCCACATCTTGAATACTGCTCGCAAGTTTGGAATCCTTCCCGAAAAAAAGATATAATGAAGATTGAAAGAGTTCAGCACACTTTTACCCGCCTGGTCTTTCGTCGCGCAAGTGGTGGAACACTAGTTGATATTCCAGACTGTCACCTACGCTCTAATAAATTGAGCTTGACTCCTCTCAGAATTAGACGCATGATATCCGACCTCGTCTTTTGTTTTCGTATTCTTCGCATGGAAATAAAATTAAAAGCAAGCAAATTTTGGATCTTCAAACCTGCTGGTACGAGGCTAGGTGGTTTCAATCTGCACTATAAACCTATCAAGCAACATCAGTCTGGAATATTCAACTACCTGTTCTTCCGCTGTGCAAGATGGCTTCAGCGCTTACCCGTTGATATTATGTCAGTGCGTGGCGGTGAAGCCTTCAAGAAAAAATTAAGAAAAGCTGATTTGTCTCAACTTTTGAGCAGTGATACTTCTTCTTGATTGCGTTGCGTTTCTAATATTTGTGTTCAGATTCTTTTAGGGTATTGGTCTTTAGGGCTTATGGTTGTTATGGTTCTCCCATGGTTTGGTTCTGAGGCTTGATCTTCTTTGCACTTCTTTTTTCCTTCTTTTTCTTCTATTTTATTTTTCATCTCTCAATAGTCTTCTTTTTAGATTCTCGCTCTTGTCCATGCGGTTCACTATCTTTTTCGTATGCGGTTTCATGGCACGCGACTCTACCTGTCTCATGCTGATCCTTACTCTGGGCTGATTGTGGTCGAGGGATGCGGAATGAATGCTTTTTTGGACTGTAGTTTATGTTAGATCACACTGTACCACTTCATTGGACCTTGGTTCAAATTATTGCCGTTCTCTGTTTGGTTTTCTTCTAACATTTTCATGCCTCACGCGTTAGTTTGGGTCTGGTTCCGTCTTATCACCTCAGTTATGCTTGGGCTAGCTTGTTTGGGCTTGAGACTTTTGCATTGTGCAACTTTTATCGGAGTTCTGTTCTCTCCCCAGAGTTTTGGTTGGGCGGGTTTTATCAATATTACTACCAATACACCTGCTTCCAACATATACAATTGCTTATGTTGAGTAAGAGCATTTTTTGCTAAGAGCAGGGGGCATGAGACAGACTCCATTGAACCTCTATACCTGTGATAACTTCATATATGTCTAAACAAGCTCATTCCCTTTCCATTCCCATAAAGATTTTGCGGACTGGACTTGAACTGATTCAGTGGGGAGTTTGCCTTTTTGTTATATTTTTTTTGTTGTTGGTTGTTTGGTGTGATGCTTCGTTCTTCTGTTGTATGGGCGCGCCTTGTGCGTATTAAATAAAAATAAAAAATAAATATTAACGTGGTAGCTTTTCAGATCTGTGTTATGAAATGGCTACCTTCAATTAAACCCGATTTCACCAACGTTTTTCAATTATGTGAGTTTAGTGTTGCTCTTATAGGGTAATTTTATCTTTTTTTCAATATCGTTGTCAAGTTTCGGCTTATCTCATTCTAACTAGCTGAAAAGGTACCACAGTAATGAGCAAAATTTTCTCTTCCAAATAAAAATTCTTCTAGAATTTTCTGTGACGCAGCCCGAAAAATGCCAATTTTGACTGATTTCCTTCAATCGCCTCTAGCAATCGAATTTTCTCAAAACAATTCATAGCGGAGGCACAGCTGTAAAGAACATAGATTCTTCTTTTGAACAGAAGCAATTTTAAGGAAATCCATCGAGTGGCAAGAAAGATAAGATTTTTTTGGAAATGATGCGCGAGAACTTTCGGACCAACCTAGTATATTTTCCTTGCGCATTTTTTTTCAAATGACAGCTTTCGTTTGCTCCTTTTTCCTCCCACTTTGTTCGCGAGTGCTTTTTCGAGTAGCTCAGACGTTTTCTTGTTTTTCCAGTGCAGTTCGGGGCGTTTAGTGTTTGTAATTTTCAGAGAAAAGAATTCTCAATAAGACACTGGTAGCGTCTTGCAAAACATGCACCATGCCGACGAACGTAGAACTTATTCCGGTGAGTCTTTTTTTGGCTCGAACTAAAATTTTTCTTTAGATGATTATTTAAGCTGTCTATAGTTTAAGCATTAAACTTTTTCTGAATTCTGTTCAAACATGCTCAATTTTCTTCTCTCCAAAAATTCCGCTCAATATCTTCCAGATCTTTTTTGTCATTGATTTTTGTCCGTAAACAGCTATTTCTATCTCTTTATTGCTCTCATGCTGTACAGAATGGAAATACCCCAATCCCATTTATAAAATTTGAACTCTTGAAGTGCATATCCTTTGTATCATTGCCAGCTAGATATTCTTCCACAATGTCCACGAATCCAGCCCTGCGGAAAACCATATTCTTCTTTCATTTTGCGCCCACTAAGAACTCCTTTTGTGTCGTTTGTGTGTGAATGCACACGAGAGCGTAAAGTTCCAGATGGAAATTGATATGTTTGACATCGCAAGCAAGAGTCGTCAAAATAAGCTGCGTAGAGCATGTGTTCGCGAACAAACCACTCCTGGTTCTTTGACATGAATTACAACTTTTTACTTTTCCTCATCTCCGATTTGTTTAATTTACATCACGATTTTGCCTATGGGAGCACTTCTATAATAGTTCGATAGATTTATTAAAGTAAAGTAAAGTTTTGCAAGGTAGACAAGATTTTCTGACTGATCTAGTTGGGTTTGCGTCTAAGTTTTTTTCTTATTTTTCAATTATTCACATTATTATTCACCACTTCACAACTCTTTGACATCCTTACCTATTTTTTTACATATTCTCAAAGGAACTATGGAACTCCACTCTTTTATGACGTTCTCAAAAATGCTGCGTATTTTTTGCAATTTTTATGCGCTACAATTTTCATGTAAATTGTGCCACACAGGTACAAAGATATAATATCCTGAAGATTCTAAATGTATTCGGGTTTGCCGAAACCAGTTTCATCCTCTATCCCCTAATTTGTTTTCATGTTGAGAATTTCTATCAAATTTTATTCGAATCCCTTTTCCCTACTGAAAATTTTTGAAAAGAAAAACCGGTTAACGTATCCTAATTAGCGGCGACTTGTTCGTCGAGTATCCATTGAGGATTGAAGTCCGCTCAACATCGTCTTCCCTCAAGGGCCAAATTAGCGCCAAGAATTGATTGTGCGAATTTATCCCAACAAACGTATCCTGAAAGCATGTAGACAGTCATGTGCATTATGTTTCAGCAACAACTAAGTTTTTTTGTCAAATTTTTATTGGCTAACGTTTCTGCGATTTCACTTCCGTCAGAGCCTGTAAAGTCGAGGTTTACTTAAATGCGAAATCGCCGAAAGTTAGAATCGATAAAAAGAAATTGCTGAAAATTTTGGTTGTCGTTGAAGCACAATACATAATAACTATCACGCCAAGATCAGAAGCAGTCGAACTTGGAATATGTAGACATTGTTTTGTTCGATCGTTATTAGCTCCCCTCCCTCAATGATTCCTAGCGTAACGTAAGACGTTAAAGCGCAGATTTCAATCCAATTTTATAATACGATCGTGCCAGAAATTTGCTGTAGAAGTTGAGATCATGCAATTGGGAGACAAAAATGCTAAGCAGACACCAAAGATTTCCTACTTGATCACGTTTGACTATTCTGGTTATTCTAATGCGTCCATTTGAAATTTGAGCAGATTGAAAACCTAATTTTTCATTAAGCTTCGAAGGCTTGTATCATTTTTTATACGGTTTAAGAAGCCTGCGAAATCCCTATGTTCGACTCAAGTGTGCGGGAACACTTAAGGTTTCAGCCTCTTTGTATAGTTTCTGAGTTGATAACTTACTTAATTCTGATTTATTGTCGATGAGGATCGATTTTTTTGCAAAATTTGAGTTAGGGGGCTGGAATTTGGCAGAGGGGTGCAATTGAGCATGCTGATCACCCCCGTGGGGGTGATCAGCATGCTCGATCAGCATGCTCGATTACACCCCTCTGCCAATTCCCAGCCCCCTAGCTCAAATTTTGCAAAAAAATCGATAAAATCGACATCGATCGAGACGATAAGTAGCCTATGACACCCGCCGGGGCCCGATGTGTATGTGTGCCAAGTTTGGTCCCGATCGGTTCAGAAATGGAATTTTCTATTCGGAACATACGTACATACATACATACAGACAGACATACATACAGACATACAAAAGACATTCAGCTTTATATATAAGATCTAAAATAGAGCCTTGAGAATTCTACGAAAAGACATCTGTAGTGTTGCTCCTGCATGCTCCAGAAATCTAAGTTAGGATCTTGATGAAAAAGCGTCGGTACTGCGTTATTAGGATCACTGATTTTGTTGCTAACCTGTTACATTTTAATCCATAAAGTTACGATATATTATAATATAATATTGAATTATTTATAACAAGATAAAATACTAGCCTCTTGATTGCCTCGTATTTGGTTCATTAGACTCACATAGAAAAAAACGCCTTAGTTGTCCAAGTAAGCTATCAGAAAAATCAAGATTAGTAATATTCAAACACTTTAGTATCTCTTACTTTTGGTCTATCTTTTTTGCTGAAGAAGCATGGTACTGTATCAATCTAAGCCTTGCTTTTTCAATAGTGTATGAGCAGAAGAATACAGTCACAGTAATCTACCATAGTTGGAGATCCAAGGAAAAATGTCATCTGTCTTGGCTAAGGATGAAAAGAAATCTGCCTACGTTTACGTTTATGAAAACCTCTTTTTCAAAGTATATAACTATCTTCATCTCACAAAATTTGTTTCTAAGCCATTATGTGTCGCCGTCACTTTTGCTCTTTGTCATATTCAGTTTATTGCCCATTTATAGTTTCCCGCAGAAATGTTCTTTCTGTTCTTTCTCACAACGAATTACAAATCTTGGGGTACACGGCGAGGCATTGCGAAACACGACATATAGTAGTGAGACATAGTATTAGGTCGTTTCATAAGTTCGTAGAATTTTCATTCTCGTTCTCATTACTTTAGGGAGCGGTTGATTTGCGGCAAGATGCATACACCATTGAAAAGAGCTGATTATGCTCTTTGAACTAGACTAAATATTTTTGTTGAAGAGCTGATTTGCTTTGTTTAATGAGCGTCCAAAGAAGGATTTCTCGGAAAACCAAAAGAGGCATATTCGGCACTCTCTCATTTTTTTCTTATGGAAAAAGCGTTTTGCGCAGATATATTTGCCATTTATGGAAAACGGCGTCTTTCCGTCAATATGAGACAAAAAAGGAGTGGATTGCCAAGAAATATCAAGAGTTCCCAGCCCAAGGTGACCCCTGAACAAGACTTTTTGCAGTATGGGCAGGACGTTCTGCATTGAAAATCGCTAGGCAGTTATAAGACGGTCGCTCACACTGTAGGCAACTCGATTGCACCATCTTAATGAATATCATTGCAGAAAAGGCCTAACAAACAGGTCCAGTGAGCTTTTCTGTGAGAAAACTTGTTTCCTCCCCCCCAAAGGCAACCGTCGTCATATTTGTCACGCAAGACTTGAGAGGGAGGTACATTGGTATCCGATGTATTCTTGAGGTCTCGCTCTAGCATAATACAGTGCGGGCCAAAACTATAATTCCAGCTTGAAAACTGCCGTAACTCATCTGCTTCTTAACAAATTGATCTGAAATTTATTAGTTGTGTGTTTAACAGGCTACCGTCAGTAACCAGAACGGATCCCGTTTTTGTTTGATTATTCAGGATCAAAAATATCGAGAAAAGCAGGCTTGAAGGTTGGCCAAAACTATAATTTCACCTAAGGTTTCTGTCCACTAAAGTATTTCTCGGCTTTCAAAGTATTTCGTGCATGCACACAATCAAAAGTCAAAATAGTTGCTTTAGTTCAGCTGTGTCATATTTTTATAAGAAACGTTCATCTGCTTTTTTTCGCTAAAAAATACGTTCATGCGTATTTCGTTCCCAAGAATGTGTTTTTAGGGTAATTTCGCAGTTTTTCGACTGGTTTGGAAGCGATAGGGCTCCACCTATCTTATAGATGCTTAGCGAAGTGAGACAGGAAAAAAAATTGGAGTTTTCATATTTAAAGCGCATCCGACATAGACCTTACAGCAAGCCTGCGCTCAAATTTTTGCCTCCATTGGTTTATGTTATTTTTGTGAGCTCAAAATGATGTAAAGCATCGTTTACATAGAAAGAAGTTTGCACACTATACTTGCGATTGTTGGCTAAGTCACATTTTGCTTCGTTTTCAGAGCATAAATTTTCGCGGTTCAATATATTTAGGCAATCCCAAGTACCTTTCCTGATTTTTTGCCGCTATTTGGCTGCTAGATAGTGAAACACCCTGTAATGTATGTTGCCTTGTAATTCACATGAGCATTACGATTAGAACCAAGAATAACTTCAAGGCTTTTTGCAAATCAATTTTTGCAGGATGAATTCCTCAGTTAGCCTGATGCTAAGACCTGCGG